CGCGAATAACCCAGGGCAGAAGGGGAGATACCACAATTGTTCAGCACACGTTTGGTCATAGGATTGGCTTCACTTGTCTCTGACGAGTTGTAGTATGCTTCTAAGAATGGCGATACTCACTGACGATGCCGGTGAAACGTTTGGAAATGTACCACGTCCACACTTCAACTTTGGAAATGATCATGCAGGCAATGGACTCCAGACTAGGTGCGTTCCTCTAAGTCTTCCTACCAATATGACCATGTTGCGAAAACAAGGTCAAACAACTTCATAAAATGGACTGAGGACAAGGTGCGTTTCCTATAAGTCTTCCTACCAATATGACCAAGTTGCGAAAACAAGGTCAAACAACTCATGCAACGAAAGCAATCTGCGACCACGCAAAAGGCCACACCATCTTGGTCTTCATGCCTTCGAAATGACAATATAATTATCAGAATGAAAATCATCAACCAAGTAGGTATATTTTCTTCTTTTTAATAAAAATGATCTCATCTATTTATAGTCTTATTTTTACCGCCAAAATTGAGGAAATTCAAAAATCATTGTTTTTATCACCCCAATACTTCTTATTCTTAGTCATTTAAAAATTCATTATGCCACTTACTCTATATTTATATGTTTTCGTCTAGTGCTGGGCAGGTTAAACGGGAATCCTCCCATTTGCCAGCCTTTCATTTCCCATTCGGAAGTAGTCGCCTCCAGACTCATCAAATTGAAGCCGAGCTTGTGCGCATCCGAACTGCCTTCGAGAGTTTGGCCAATGCAGAAACATCACCTTTGGCCGTCAAAAGGGAACACGTCGAGACTGAATTGGTGACTACGGACGTGGAAAAGGGACAAGAGAACATTGAGGTTGCCGAAAAACCAAGCGAGCCAGAGAAAGAGGTTGTGCAAAATAAGGTGATTGGCAAACTGATCACTGACGAGTCACCCACTACAAGTGGAAAGGAGACCTTGATCAGTCCATCTAAGGGTGCAGAAGTGACCAAGGTTATTAACCTAATGTTATTTACCTATACTCTATGAGGTTCTAAATCAGAGCTAGCTTATTGAATGATTTTATAAGAAGATTTATTATGCTCCACATAATCTTATTTATAATATTTTTCATATTCAAATGATAAATTCTGATCAAGCTCTAATAAATCGAAATTTTTTATTGTCTTTATATATAGCGTCTTTGTATCTTACTTATTGGTTTCTTTATTTGATGTTAAATTAAGGGCTACATTGTTAATTTATGAATCCTTGTCTTTCTTTGATTATAGGTATTGCATCGCATTTCGTTGGGCTTCAACGAAATATATATAGACATCTCTTTGAATTAAGTTCTTGCGCAAATCTCCAGCAAAATAGTTTTGTTCACTATGTTGCTTACTTTACTCTTAAATTTGAAATACTTAGAAGAGGTAACTTAAGATGAGGCCACTGGAATATACATTCGTT